TTTTGAGGGCGTGGGCAATGGGGTCAGAGAAGTGTGCCCTGAGGTGTACTTCTGTCCTCACACCTCAGGGCACCCTTCAAAGGATCTCAGCACCCTTCAAGGGATCTCATGGTCACCTGGTTGAGAATTACTACACTATAGGTTGGGAGAGTAATCATATGGGGTGGTGGTTGCGTAAAGAGATAAGCACAGTAGCATAACATGGCCCAGCAGGATAAACTTTCTTGCTAGGAGGGTAGTAAAGCACTGGAACAGGTTACCCAGGGAGATGGTGGGATCTCCATCCCTGGAGGTTTTTAAAACCCAACTAGACAAAGCCTTGGCTGAAGTGACGTAGTTGGGGCTGGTCCTGCTTTGAGCAGGGGCTTGGACTAGATCAGTGTTTCTTAACCTGTGGATCACGACCCAAAAGTGGGTCACAAGAATATATGAAGGGGTGGTAAACAAACTTCAAAAAAGGATCAACAAACTTTAAAAAATGGATTCTCCTTTAAAGGAGAAAAACATGGGAAACCGTGGCTTTTTCCTTGCAGGCTGGCAGAGCTGAGGTTCCCCACACGCTGAGGGACTGGGGGCAGCGTGTAGGGAGTGAGGGGCGCTGGGTGGAGGCTGGCCATTGATGTCCTGGTACAAAAACGGTTGAGAACCACTGGCCTAGATCAGTGGTTCTCCACCTTTTTTTGTACCGGGACCCATTTGTAAACATCAATGGCCAGTCCGCCCCACCAATCTCCCCAGTGTGTGGGGTCATGAGGGGCCCCAAGCAGCGCCTTTCAGGCTGGAGCTCTGCCAGCCTGCAAGGGAAAAGTCACGGTTCCCCACGTTTTTCTCCTTTAAAGGAAAATCCATTTTTAAAGTGTGTTTGCTACCCTTTCATATATTCTTGTGACCCACAGGGTGAGAAACCCTGGACCAGATGACCTGCTGAGGTCCCTGCCAACCCTCAGGGGCTATGATGGGGCATAGATACTGCGTGGACTGCAGACGGTGGCTGCCCGGAACGCTATGCACTGGAGCGCTTCACAGCAGAACGCACCGCGGTGCCCGGGGAGCGCCTGCGGCCGGCTCTAGCCCGCCCTGCGAGACCTGCAGCCCGGAGCAGCTCAGCCTCCCTTTCCTCCCGCTCCCCCGCCCTGAGCCAGCAGCACGCAGCGCGCTGCCCTCCTCTGCCCGCCCCACACAGCCATCCCAGCGGCCGCCTCGCCACGGGGTAAGCCTCCTGTGCCGGCGGAGGGAGGGCTCCGACTGCAGGGGGAGGCAGGAGGGGAGCGGGCTCAGGCAGGAACCTGCTTCCCCGAGCTGGGAAAATGGCAGCTTTTTTTTTTTTTTTTTGCAGCATAGTGGTGCATCGGGCAGGCTCCAGGGCTAGAGACGGGTTCCTGGGGCTGATTCTTCATGCCCATCTCTCTCCCTTCTTGCGCTGCCAGGGTGGCACAGCTCCCAAGCAAGGCATGCCTTCAAATGCTCCCCAAATACCTGAGACGGAAATGGTCCTCCGTGCATGCGGGTTGCGGGTGGGATTCAGCGTGCTCCGGCACGGGGCAGGGGGGACTGGAATTTCCTCTGTATGTCTCCAGGGTGCTGTTCCCGGGAACAGCCGTTCATTCACTGGTTTGAGAGGAATCTCTTCTGCCTGGATTGAGCTCTGGCAGCAAAGCCTTTGCAGTTTTTGTTCCGAGAACACCTTAGTTTTTTAAGGGATTTCACAGGATCCCCCAAAGCTTTTTAGAAGGAGCTGCTGGAAGTTAAAAGGGTTTAGAATGACTCAGACTTCAATTCAACTACAGCTCAAGAAGTGGATGCATCTACAGCTATACCCATATCTGTATCCATATCTATATACTGAAATGTTAAGCAAACTGAAAAGTAAAACAGCAACAATTCAGTTTAGGTCAAATGAAATGTGTGATGTGGAATGAAATGTTTTGGTTAACTATCCAGCTCTTAAAAGTGCTTTTTATTTTATTTTTTTAAAACGACCCACAATTTTCACCCAGCTCTCCTAGAAACACTGCAGCAAAGGGTCTGCTTCTTACTTTTTCCACCTTTCTCCACTTCTGTGTTCTTCAAGTGCAGAGCAGAAGGAACAGATGTCAAAGACTCCCAGCGCTTCAATCCTTCACTTCACTTGGTCCAGTTTTCTGTGGAGTAGTAACAAGTCATCAGATCAGATCAGAATCTAATCTGCCAGCCTCCATCCCAGGAAATGGCCTGACCTCAGTAATATTTTGAGTGATTACTAGAACAGTTTAGGATTTTCCTTTAATCCTCTTAAGTGAAACATACATAAATAGCAGAAAATAGAAACCTATGTTACACTTTTAAAAAGACCCCTATTTTCTCTGAAGTTAAAAAAAAGCCAGGAAAATGCCCAGTGGCAAATTATTTTCCTATCCTAGTGTAACTGAAGTTCTGGTGGCCGTGAGTAGGTGGAGCAAAAATGGGGAGTTTTGTAGACCCAGGGAGTTTATTATAGATCTTAAGTTCCTAGGCCTCCCATTCACTCCTTCCCACATACATCCACTGTGGGGCGGGGACTTGGGGGCAGTGGGCTGGGAGTGAGGGGCACTGGGTTGGTTCTGGCCGTAGCTGCCTATACACATGCTAGTTCATGTTCAAAATGTCATGCATTGGAGCATACTCGATTAATCCAGTCTGTTCCACCTTCTAATCTGAACGCATCAATATTGCCTCACTGCCAGGTGTATTAAGCCCCCATGCATTTCAAAATGGCCGCAGGGGTGCTTCATCTAAATGCCATCAAATGAGCTTTAGATAAAGCATCCTGCGACCATTTTAAAATGTGCAGGGGCTTAATGCACATGATGGTGAGCAATTTTAATTAGAGTGGCTGTCTGGGAACCTCTCTAATTAAAACATGCCCCCCTCCACCTCTAAGCATGTATATAGGCAGCCTCTTTTCCCAGTCTGGCAAGGTAACAAGATCAGGGAAGAAAGAAAAGGATAAAAGCTGGATTTGTGTGGATCTGGTTGGATCCTGCCAATTTTTGTCTCCATGCCTCCAAAAGAAAGCCTCAGAAACAGAGCACAAGTCTAGTCCTTTTAAATGTCTCCAAAACAGTTTGAACCCCAGTCCATTCTGGAGAATTCATGCCATAAATAACCATATACAGCAATATGATCCTGTTAGATGGACTTAGTCAAATTTTGGCAGTAAGGCTTTGGTTTTAGTAGCTAACTTGAGAACAAGTGTATCTGCTCCTACCAAAATGCCCTGAACAATGATCAATCCTAGCTGAATCATGCTACACTACAACAATACAGTACCACAATACAATACAACAATCCTGGCTTTGGCAACAGTCTGGCTTTGGCAACTGAATCGTTACAAATGTTTGTCTTCAGTTGTACAATCTTAATAAAAATAAGAGTAGATATTTCTGTTGTGATAGACAGTCTTTGGCCACGTTGCTTCCTAGCTAAATAACGTTGGAAAAAAGACATAACTTTTCCCTATAGTCTGTTAATTTTTAAATTCAGTATCTCAATTGAGTAACATAACATAACATAACATAACATAACATAATAAAGTCTGCGTGTCTGACTACTTAATGTATTTATTTCTACCTATCTTATGCATCTGTTTCTATATATCTCTTTCTATGTGGCAGCTCTGTATGCAACAAAAAATCTAGACCTACGCAAAACATCACAGCCATACCTGGATCCAACTTTATTCAGTTAGTTTTTCTGTTTTTAGCCAAACTATAACAATTCTTCCAGTTAAAAAGCAAAGAAGTGCATCTGCTCAAATTCCTCTTCTTGTGTTCTGAAAATGACTAGATTTGTTCTGGAGTGATGTTACAACCACGGCGGTTGAGGAATTATGTGAGAGGCAAAGATTTTTGGGGTGACATCGTTTATGGAACCAGTTGCATGACTGTGATAAATGTAAACGAGCTTTCAAATGCAAAAATACAGAATTTGGGGACCCTGGGCCAAAGCTTGGTATGCTCCAGGTAGATCTGAGTTTTCCTTATGGTGCAAGATTTCAGTCTCAAATGTAAATGTGCTTAGGAAACATTAGGCTGAAGACAGTTATCTATTTGCATTGTATTCAAAAGTGGAAGCTTGCATGCCTTAATTTTGACCATCTTGGGGCTTATTGATTATTTCAGAATAATCATCTGATGACAATCTGTACATTGTAAAGTGACCTCTTAGTGCCCTTTTACTTCAGCTAGGGCAGAATTTCTCAACTCATGGGTTATGATCTAAAAGTGGGTTGCAAGAATATATGAAAGGGTCATGAACAACCTTTAAAAGTGGATCAAACGTTAAAAACAGATTCTGCTTTAATGGAGAAAATTGTGGGAAACCATGGCTTTTTCCTTGCAGGCTGGTTTGCTTGAGGCCCCCCATTCTCTCCCTCCCACATACACACACTGGGGGGGCTGGGGTCTTGGGGCAGTGGGTTGGGAGTGAGGGGCACTGAGTCAGGACTGGCCATTGGTGACGTGTAGGGGGTGCACGCTGGTGCACGAGCACCCCCTGAGCATGACAGTGCACTCCTTACACTGTTGGCAGTGCCTGCAGGCGGTCGCTGCTCACCCGCCCCCCCCCCCGGCTGCTGGTGGGTGGTCAGCAATCACTGCTGGCCCCTGCCTCTGGTGGTGTCTGCAAGTGGTTGCCGACCCTTGGTTGGTGCTCACCACGCCCCACCCCGCTACTGCTGATGGCGCCAGTGGCATCTGTGGGATCTTGCTGCTTACTGCCACCACGCTTCAGCTGCCATGCTCCCGCCACTGCTGTGCCCCCCCCCAGCCGCCGGGGGCACGTGTTGTTCATGGGACTGGCCATCAATGTTTACAAGTGGGTCCTGATACGAAAAAGGTTGAGAACCAGTGAGTTAGGGGACATGAATATACAAGAAAGCAGAAGAAGTCCTGTGGCTGGAACTTTAGGGTCTAAAAATTGGTGCCCTTTGCTTGCTTGTAACTCTTCCTAGTTTCCAGCCCTCTTTAGTGTGTAAGAAAGTCAAGAAGAGTTTATGCATGTTGGAAACTCGATAGGAGGCAGCAGCTGATCTTCCCATCACCAGCCTAAAAATACTCCACAGCAGAGCTTAGAGCTGCTTCAGTAAGTGGAGGAAAATCCTGTCATCGGAATAATATTGATCAGATAGGACAGCGGAGTGAACATTTGGTTTGGTGTTTTGTGTGTGCTAAGGTAAGTTACAGAGTTTGATCTAACATTCAGTAAACAAGTGGGGCATGCAGCAACCCCCCTATTATCTTTCACTAACCCCCTTCTTGTCCTTTCTGTTATATCTGTGGGACAAGGTTTTTTGCACTTCCCTGGGGTTACAGCTCAAATCTGTATAACTTTTCCTTCCCAAACTGACACTCTAAAACTTTACCATCCCCTGCCACTGTTGCACTCTCTGCTGTTATTCATAGGGATAAGTTTCTTCTTAAATTGATTTTACAAGTGTCCTGTAGTAATGTAGGAAATCTTAAGTCGCAGCTTGTTTTACAGCTGACGGCATGGCATGCTGGTATTTCAAGCTGCACAAATAGCTGGGTTAAGGAGCTAACATAGAAATAAACAGGCAGAATAATTACATGCTAAAGAGAATTCCAAAGGTAGATGTGAATTACTTTGTAGTGTTAATTTGGTCTTTAGCTCAATTGCAACTATAATCTTAGATTTCATTGCACATTTATTATATGCAGTGTGTTTGGGGCCTGATCCAAAAATCATTGAAGTCAATGAGATTCTTCCTATGGGCTGTTTGTATACACTTGTAAGTGCTTTGAAAACAGAAGAGTAGATAGAGAAATTTATCACCCCAGGGTTTAAAATAATTTATCGGACTATGAAACATCCCTAAAGTAGAGTTGTGTGGTTAAAATAATGACTAGGAAAATATAAAATGCACAGACTCATATTCGATAAAATAGATCCCATCCTGTAGCATCAGTTAAGACAGAGGACTGATCATAGTAAATACCAATTGTCAAAGCCAGACCACTTATAGGAGAGGAAATAAATCAAATAAAAAAGTTTATATTAAAAAAGGAAAGGGATTCTTGGTAACAGTCAGCTTTTTGTCTTTGATCTTGAAATCAATAGTGAAAATCAGAATCGGGTCTTTAGAATTCCCCAAGATTTTTGAGCCCATCTTGGTGTTCCCTGTGAAGAATTGAAAGTATCTGCCATTTCCTAATTGTCATCTTCACAGTTGTTTACAGAAAATATATCTCTGTGTCTAACTCTGTGTCTGGAGAATCACTGTTCTTGAAGGGCAGTGGCAACATCATGTCCATTATTACTTCTTTGTCTTGGACTGTTTTCCACCATAACTTCCTGAAATCTGGAACCATTATTTTCAAACTTCTCTTCCCTAGCAGCCATTTAATAAATCTCATTTATATCATTTTCTATTAACTGCAGCATTACTGAGATTTTGTACCTTGACACCACCCCAAAAAGGCTTGGCCTGCCAGCTGGTGGGAGTCTTAGAGTGATATTGCAAATGTTTAGAGGCTTCAAGTTTATTTTTAGACATTGCAAGGTCTCTGTGCCTTCAAGATAACTTCCATCATCAAAGTAAATTAGCAAGGCATCAGATTTCAGAATGGAGGAAAAGAGAGCTGGAAGCAACATGCCTCTCACACCATCTTGGACCTATCTTTTCTACTTCTTTGTACCTCTCCAGCATCTCTGTTTTTGAACCTTAAAAGTGCTTGCTTATCCCCTTTGATGGTATTTAATTACTTGAAAAAAGACTATTTTTCAGGAAGAAAAAATGAACTTGAAAAATTTTGGCCAATTCTAGATTTTTGTAATGAACATGTGTAAAGGTAACAGTTTAAGTATCTAACCATTAATTGATAGTTTTCTTATAGTCTAAATGTAAAGGGAAAAAATACTTAAAATAATTATCCACTATTTGCAAGGGTGACATCTACCGCTATAAACAATAAATAGCTCACACTTGATTTAGTGAACAGCATAATATCAGATTTCTCCCTTGGCTGATGTTCCCTCTTAACACATTCCCTGGACTGAAATTGAAATATTAGGGGGCCTATCCATGTGCAGTGTGACTGCTCCAACACACTGTAATTACAGTGCATCGGAGCAGACTTGATTAACTGTGTCTGCTGGAGCGTGCTAATTACCAGCTCCAGCAGACTCCAGTGTCATGCGTATCAGCATGCCCATACTTGTTTGATGAGCTTTAGTCAAAGCGCTCCCACTGCCATTTTTCAGTGAGGGAATGCTGATACATGTGACACTCTGGACGCTTTAATTAGAGCAGCTCTCGGAGCCCCCTCACTCCCAGAGCACGTGTATAAACACCCTTAGAGTCTACCTTTTCCATTTGGCAACATTCTTCTGAAACAAAAGTAGAACCTGGTAGAATCAGCAATGAAGCTGGAGCACTATGCTATATATCAGGACTATCCAGCTACTGCCCTCTGCAGTGCATGTGGCCCTCAAGGGGTTAAACTCCTAGTTCATGTGCTTCTCCACCCCCTGTTGCTGCTGCTGGAACTGGAATCTATGCCAGAGGTGTCAAACTCAGCGGGCCCCATGGGCTGAATGAGTGGTGTGGGGCCCAGTCTGCTGGCAAGATGAGGTCCATCTCTGCCTGCATGCCTGAAACAGCATGTGCGGCACTTGCCCAGGCCAATCCACAATGTTCCTAGTAAGCACCTCATGTGATATGGGCCTGGTCCAGCTCTGTGGGTGGATCAATGAGCAGCAGCAGGGGCCAAGTTATGGGATTTAGCCTGTGGGCTGTATGTTTGACACCCCTGATCTATGCGATAGAACTGCAAGTGTCTAACTGTGTGACGTAGGCTCTGTACAGCTAACAGAAAATCCCCAGCTTTATGCACCTGAGCAGTTAGCATAAGAAAACCTTGAATTCTTTTTTTTTCTATCTAGATTTACTGGAACAGTATTATAAAATTAGGCATGTTATGAATGTCTTCCCTCTTACTTGAAAAGCAGGGGTTGGTCATTGCCAAGTGGAGGGCACTAGACTAGATAAACCTTTGGCACGTTCTGGCTAACAGGGAGCATCCTCATCTCACACTTTGAACATTCTATTTTCTTGCAGAGCCATGTCTTTCCCAATAACTGATGGAAAATCTCTCATTTGATTTCTGTATTCCAGTTTCTTACTATCAGGCCTTGCTGACTAATAGGAGCCAAAAAACACACAGATAGTGAGTGACTCATTATACATTAGAACCCAGGTTCATCCTGCTTTCCAGAACCAACCTGACTGCAACAGCCTCCTCAACTGTTTCAGAATATAGTCATATTGTCTTTGGGGAAAGGAAATACATTCTCAGCAGAATTCCCATGGACTGCTGACCTTCCAAAAAAAATGATGCAACAACATTTCATATTGTCAGACTACCATTACTGTTATGTTCTCTTAAAGGGAAATGTGAAGATTAAAACAAACAATTTATGCATGTTTTTAAAAGTCCATTTTGTCTGTTGGTAATAAGTATGTAGTTAATTGAACAGAATGGATTTTAACATCATATTTGGCTTTCACTATTAACTGTATGTGGCTTGATTGTGGGTTTGCATTTCATCAATGGCAGAAAAACTGCAGGTTCATGTACATAGTTGATTATAGATGAGGGGTTAAATTCTTCACAGAAGTAAATTCCATTGAATGTTGCGTGGGGATTCTATCAGATTTAGGCCTTGATCTCATGCATTTAGGACTTAGATTTAACAGTGAATATAACTTCATAGACTTCAATAGAATTACTCTTGTGCATAAAGTTAAGAGCTTGCATAGGTTTGCTGGATGTGGGCCTTACTGTGACCCTGAGTCATGCTCAGTTTCTGGATTTCATCAATCAGTGCTTTCCTGTTGTGTTTGGAATATGTTTAAATTTTTCAAAATCTTTTTACTGAAACTTTGGGAGATTGTTGAGATTATGGTTTGCAAACCCTCCTAATGTCTTGGCTTTTAGCAAAAGTCAAAATTTGGGTCTAAAGTGTCCCTTTGTATTTTTTTTTATGTGATTTTTGTGTTCATTCAGCAGCAATTCACAAGCTAAATCTTGCTTGCTTTTGTGTCAGGGAAGGAAGAAGGATTTGGCCTATTCACATGTAGTGAAGTTTATGTAACTCTCTATTGTTCTGATTTACCAAAACTCGTATACTTAAGTTCTGTTGACTTTAGTGGGATCTAGGTATGTGCTTAGTTAAAAGTATAAGTTGGGAAACTCAACTTTTCCCCAGAAATCCTGGGGGCATGCCTTGTAAGCAGGGAAACCCTCACTTTCCTTGCTTACTAAGACATGTCCCAGAGATCCTGGGGGTACTTCTGGGTATGCAGTGAATCTTTCCCTGCTCACAGAGAGGTGCCCTGGAGATCTTGAGGGTGCAACTTTGTAAGTGGGGAAACTTGGGCATGCACTCACAGGGCTTGAGGGGCCCAATTCAGGGCAAGGAGTTCTCAGGGTGTGCAGGACCGAGTCCCTCAAACCCTGAGAGGACCCTTTGCCCATTATACCACAGCATCAACGGGTGATATCTGTTTTGCCCAATGAAACAGATCAGCTGTACTGGGACATGTCATGGCATAGTTGATCCACTTCATTTAGCAATGTCTATTTTTAGCCTATGTATTTCAACACATCAGGAGAATTGGGGCTCTTGTGGGTTTCTGTCAGGGATAATGACCAGGACATGGGCATTTGGCATTCAACCCTAAAGGCTAGAGACAGAAATTACACATGAACTGGGTTAAGTGATCAGAAACCAGTTCAAATCTGTAACGTAACAGAAGTTCAGTGCACATTAACTTCTTTGAAAATGGCTAAAACCGGTTTAAGATAAACCTGGAAGGATGTAGTATCAGACTTAACTGATTTAGGTTAACTTGTTTTACTGAACTTCTGTCCCAGATTCCCACTAGATTCAAGACAACTCACATTCCCCCAGGATCCCAGGATGCTTTATACCTCACCTGCAAACCATCCTCTCCCAACCCCCACCCCACAGGGTTGACGGGCTGGCCTTTGCCCAAGCTGTCTTCTCTCGCCAAGAAGGGAGGCATGCTGTAGTACTCCCAGCTTCTTGCCTCAGCGACTTCAGGCACATGGTTGCGTTTCCAGAGCCAAAAGTGAATGCCTGTTCACTTGCTTATCGGTTCAATCTACACAATTTTTTGATTATCCTGTGAAGATTGAATTGATTCAGCCTCAGGATTTTTGGCTGTCTGTACTTAGCCAAAGGGTCATAAGTCAGGGGATCAGGACTAGAAAAGGTCATGAGACAGAAGCAGGAGTCAGCAGTGAGGAAGCAGGGATCCAGGTTGGAGTCAGGAACAGGGAGTCAGAAGCCTAGGGCTGCACAGGAAAGTACTGGTCTTCTTGAGTAGACTGCTGGACACCAAAAGAGCTACTACTTGTAAGGTGGCCACCACATGCATGCAAGCTACTAGGGCTAACTGTGAGTAATTACCCACTTGGGTAATTATAGCCAGCTAAGGGCTAATTAGCTTGCTTGCTTCCCTGAGACTCTTGATAGTTTTAACCTCCAGTGCCTTTGATTTGTAATTTAAATTTATGTATTAAAGTAGGGGTGTCAAATTCATGCCTGGCTCGGGGGGGGGGGAGGAGGGGAGGAGCTTCTTGCATGCCAGAACCATGAAGAGGAGCAATTGTGGTAGTGCTGTGTTTGGGTGACAGCATGGGTCTGGGAATGGGCAGCAGTGCAGAGACACATAAAAGTGGCAGTGTGGGTCAGGGGGTCTGCCATCCATGGCCATGTCTGAATTTTGTGGCAGACCATGCCCAAACTTCCAGTAGCCTCCCAGACGATCAATGGGCTGAATGCTACTGTTCCACAGGCCAGATTTGGCCTGCAGGCCATGCATTTGACACCCCTGTATTGAAGAAAAGTTATTGTAGCAACACAAACATTCATGAATATAGTAAATTGCATATGTTGTAGAGAAGAAGTGTGTAAGAACACATTTCAATTTCAGTCCGGTTTGAACCCCCTACAAATAGTAATGCATAAGTTATCCTCCATGTTGTGGTAGTGTTGGGATGTGATATTCTGTTTCTGTTCCATCATCTAAGTGGCCTTTGGATCTAATGGTCTGGATGGCCAAATGGCAGTAGAATGTGGAACACCAAATGGTAACAATGTCACCCTTAGCTTTAAGTACACAGAAAAGGTTGATGAAAATTGGATCAAATGGAGACTAACATTTATTTACGGGGTATAGTCATTGAATGCTTTTAATAGTAAATAAGTCTTTAATTTTGTATACAGTGATGTATACACTTAAAGTGCATAAGTCTTTGCAGAATCACATGTAAGCTTATCAAAGTACTCTGCAGTTTGCTTTAAAAAAAGCACCTTGATCATGTCTTTTTATTTTTATATTCACCTCAAAGGAATATAGAAAACTTTGGCAATCACCTTGACTGTTTTTTGTTTCTCTTGTGTCTTCTGATTTGTAGCAATAAGGCTGTCTGGAAGCAATGAAACTCGCATTTTGTGGGAATGACAACCCTGCTGCCTATAATATCAGTGCTGGTGTCCTGAGAAATGTCTGCTTCGTGGATGCTCTCAACCTGGTTCCTCATGTCTTCCTGTTATTTATCACCTTTCCAATTTTGTTTATTGGTGAGTCATCAATTCTGAGCTCCTAACCCTGGAAATGTTTAGAGTAGAGCACGTCTAATTGCAGGATGGTCTTTTTATGTCATAGGACTGGTGCAACCCATTTAACTTAGAGACTTTGTATTACTTTAGTCCTGATAAGGAAGATAGAAAATGGGGTAAAAAAGAGGCACATTGAAGAGATGTTTAAATGGAAGTGTGCTAGAACCAGAAGACTTGATGCCAATCCTCTTGAATTTCTTGAAATTTTGAACTTGAATGGATCCAAACCACAAAATTAGATCCAGATTCTTTCAAACTTGGGAGATGTCTCTCACCAATTTGAATTTGGTAGATTGCATCTCTCCCCGTTATTCACTGTTAAGAGCTAAAACAGTGAATCTGAGTTCCTTTGACATTTGATGGAATTCAGAATAGATCCAAAATTTGCAGCTTGAATCTGTCACATGATATATTAAGGATACAATAATTCACTCCTATAACAGCATTTGTAACCTAGGCAAGAGCAAATACGTTTATTCTATGGTAGTGAAAGCAGAAGATGGTCTTTAGAACATAACATCTTTAGAACATTTTGGACAGTGCAATAAGTTTCATTTTCATGCTCTTCTTGTATAAAGTCTCAGTCTGATGATGAAGTGCATGCTGTTTATTCTGTCACAAATAGAGTTGCTTTCCTGATTCACTTCTTCAGGAGTTGCTGCATTTTAATCCAACATTCCCTAATATGCAGTCTCCAGAACAGTTTGTTACCTTTATAAAATACTTTAAATTCTTTGTAGAGAAAAGGTGCTGTACACCTCTTTGCAAAGAAAAGCTGTTTCTTAGAACTATCCAGAATAACAGTGATATATCAAAGGGAACAAAGCAGAACACATATTTTCTCACACAGAGAAATAGGGATTATAATGCATTACATTACCTACATGTTCCTCTTTATAATTGTAAACTATCCATTTAGTACAGTGAAACATATACGTGAGTAAAATGATATCTGGCTCTATATAGACACATAATATGTTTTTAAAAACCAATATAATATTTGCCTTTCCCTTTACCTAAAACAAAAGTGGAACATTTTTCTGGCAAAAACCCTCTCTAGAAAAAAAAGAAAGAAAATATAGTTTCCAGAGACAAAAATGTACTATATATGTGCTTAGAAAGGCTTGGCTTTTGCTGAAGCTAAAAGCCGTATAGACATCTATAGTAATGAGTGAGCACAAAAACTAAAATGAGAGCTGGGACATGTGATGTACATTTATACAACCACTTTGAAAATATGAATCAAAAGAATACTGTGAGAGAAAAGGCAAGAAGCAAGATCGGAGGAAAGGCTTCAGGAGGTTTTATAGGAAACCTTAGATGAGTAGACTTGAGAAAAAATATATTACTGTCCTACAAGAATTTTAAAGATTTTTGAAATTTTTTTCCAACTCCAAATCAGGATGAATAGTTGAAATCTCAAAAAACTTTATGAAGTAATCCTCTGGAAAAAAAGGATTGGATTGCAAACATTTGCATTCTTACTCACTTTTTATTGTTATTATTATTATTACTCTTATTACTATTGTTGCAGTCATTATTTTTATTGTTTTACATTATCATTATTGTTATTATTATTAATAGGAATAATAATAGGAAGTATATATAGTCATTATAACTGTCATTAATAATACTACTTGTAGTAATTTTTGTCCATACAAAACCAAAATGATACTTTTTGGTTTTGAAAATGCTGAAAAGATGTGTTATAAGAATTTTGATTTTTTCCAGCATTTTTTTTTCAAATCAAGAGATTCATCAACGCAAACCTTTATCTTCAGACAGTTCCCATTTTATCCCTTTGGCATTTTCTGATGGAAAAAAAAAACATTAGTCGGAACATTTCTGAGCCATTTTTTATTGAAGGTAGAGAAGACATGGTCCTAAAGTCAAGCTGTGGTTGAATAAAACCAAGGAGATTATTTAGAAATATTTATATAGGAGGCATTTGGTTCTAAGGCTTTTTGAGAAAAGTGCATTCACTTATTGGAAAGGTAAATTGCCAGTATTTGTCTGTGTTAGTATGTGTAGTTATTTACATAGATTAGTTTAAAAGCAAGTGTATATGGTATTGTACAAAACATTGCTAAGGAGGTTGCATTCTGTGCCTTTAAATAGAGTTGAGCATTAGGGGTGTGTGAAATGGGCTGTATTTGATTCGGATTCGGCCTGAATTGGGGACAGTGATTCAATTCGTTGATTTGGATCACTGTCCCGATTTGATTTGGCCGAATCCAAATCTGAAGATTTGATGATTTTTTGGAGAATCAGCGATTTGGCCATGCACACAGCTTTAAATGTTTTTTCTACATACCTTGAGGTTCCAGGCGTGGGTCGTAAATGCTGTGATGGTGGGGTGGATGGAGTGTCCCACAGGAGGGGGGGGGCGGTGCCCTGCGTGCTTAGTGATGAACCTGGAAGTGGACCGGAAGTACTTACGGCCCATTTCTGGGTCTGCCACCGAGTGCACGGCGGACCCCTCTTCCGTGCTTGCCCAGCTCAGCAATCAGCCGTGGGGGCATCCCGGGTGTTCCACAAGACCCAGGAGGCACCAATTGCTGAGCCGGGGGGGCGAGAAGGTGTCCCCCGTGCACTCCCTGGTGGACCTGGAAGTGCTTTTGGTCCACTTCCAGGTCCACTGCTGAGTGCACTGGGGACCACCTCCTGTGCTCCCATAGGATGCTCCATCCATCCTAACATCTCAGCATTCACAAGCTTCCTGGTACCTTGAGGTATGTGAAAAAAACATTTAAAGCTGTGTCTATGTCTGAATCGTTGACTCTTTCCAAATGTCTCCGAATTGATTTGGAGGGTTCTGATTCGATTTGGAGTGATTAAAGGGGCTCTGGATTCGATTCAGATTCGGAAAATCTAATCAGGCTGAATCTTTGCCGAATTGAATCAACGACCAAAGCTTCGCACAGCCCTATTGAACATGCTTCATACCTTCCAGACTTTGCCCCATTGTGTAGCCTTATGTAGATTTTGATAATCATCTTATTTATTCTTGCTTGAGGCATAGGATGTACCTATCTCAGCATCCTATCATATTTTAAAGCATAACAGAGCTTTAAATGTGATGGGACAAGCCAATTTTTCAGTTCTGTAAGCACTGGGAGGAGTTAAATATTTTTTAGAATTTCTGACTCCCAGTCAGTTTAGTATTCTAGGAAATGTCTTATGCCCTTTTGAGGAAACTCATAAAATATTTCAAGGAAAGGCCCTAACTCATCAGTGTTTCCACTTATTTTACTTTTGATTCAGCAAGGAGATATGAAGTGATGAAGCTTATTGAGAAGGGACTTAAGAAGAATTCAGTGGCTTCACTGGGTGCACCTCACCTTCTCTCTGCACTGTGATAGCAAATGCCTGACTTGCTTATTAGGGGTGTGTGAAACGGGCCCTCTTCGATTCAGATTTGGCCTAAATCAGGGACAGAGATTCGATTAGTTGATTCGGATCACTGTCCCCGATTTGATTCAGCTGAATCTGAATCTGAAGATTCGAAGCTGATTCAGAGAATTAGCAATTCAGCCATAGACACAGCTTTAAATGTTTTTTCTACATACCTCAAAGTACCAGGCACAGCTTGCGAATGCTGCAATGATGGGGCAGATGGAGCATCCCACAGGAGCGAGGGGGGCCCCCCACATGCTCAGTGATGAACTCAGAAGTGGACTGGAAGTGGTCCACCTCCAGGTCCAACACTGAGCAGGTGGGGGCCCTCCCCCCAATGTCTCCTAGCTCAGCGATCAGCTGCAGGGGGACCCTGGGTGCTCCCCCAGACACAGAAGGCACCAGTTGCTGAGCCAGCAGGGGAGGGGCACGGGCCCTCTGCCCCACGTGCTCCCCAGCAGACATGGACCAGAAGTGCTTCTGGTACACTTCTAGGTTTGCTGCTGAGCACTCTGGACCCCCCACCCCACACACACACACACACACACTCCTGTGGGACACTCCAGCTGCCCCACCATCGCAGCATTCATGAGCTGCCTGGTACCTTCAGGTATGTAGAAAAAACATTTAAAGTTGTGTCTATGGCCAAATTGCCAAAACTTTCCAAATCTCTCTGAAGCTATTCAGAGGGTTTCAGTTTGATTTGGAGAGATTAAAGGGTCTCCTGATTTGATTCAGATTCAGAGATTTGGCCACCAAATAGGGCCAAATGTCCGCTGAATCTAATCAGTGACTGAAGCTTCATGCAGCCCTATTGATTATGGATTAGCATGGAAAAGTGGTCTATCATGGGGCTTCCAGTCTTATTCTTCCATCTTCTTTTTGATAAAATCAAATATAATGTAATGACACTGCTCCTTTGTTTGAAAAGGGACTGCCACAGATAAGTTTTGGTTCAGATTCAATTCACATTTTGTGCATCTTTTGTTCTAACACACAGCTCCATGCTTCAAACGCTGCTACAGAAGCAGTACAGAATTGGCAGCAGCTTCTGCAGAAGTTATTTCACTTTTTTATACATGCTGGACTTTTCAGTTGACACAGTTCCAAGGATCTTGACTACAAGAAAGTCATGCTATAAGTCTTCTTTTCTTTGGCTTTGCTTTTGGAAAGTTTGTTGCCCAGATATTAGGTAGTAGTGGGCGTAACCTATTGATTATTAGAGCTGAGGAGAAGGAGCCAGAGTTCTAACTAGCTGCATGATCTTTTCTCTCTTTTTTTAAATTTTGTTTTACAGGCTGGGGAAGTCAAAGCTCCAAAGTCCAGATACATCACAACACATGGCTGCATTTCCCTGGACACAACCTCCGGTGGATTTTGACATTCACCCTCCTGTTTGTGCATGTCTGTGAGATAGCAGAGGGCATAGTTTCAGATGCGTAAGTGGCTGTGTCTGGTATGGAATCTAGCTAATTGCATGAACAGTGCAAGAAAGCTGTTTATAAGGCATAAATGGCTAGGGATCTCCTTCACAGCCTTTCTAAAGTTTTAAAGGGGTCAAGATGAAGCAGTTTTATTTAGCACTTTATTATCTCCTTCTTGAGGTACTACACCTGCCCTAAATTTATAGCTACCAATTTATAAAACCTCTAAATGTGGGAAAAATCTCATAAAGCCCAGTTGCATTTATACTGCATTTCACGTTTCTTTTTAAGACAAATGAAATCTCGACACCTGCATCTTTTCCTACCAGCTATAATTGGATTTGTGGCTGCCACAACATCTATAGTCTATTACCATAATATCGAAACATCTAACTTTCCAAAATTACTGCTAGGTAAGTAGTTTATGGCACTGTTGTTGTTTTCAAGAGTCATCAGATTATTCAAGATTCTTTTTTCAAAATAAGTTTGGGGAGGTCTGTAAAATTCATAAAAAGCCTGGGAAAAAATTCTGCTTTTGAAATTATTATGATTTACACTCCTATTTCTTTTCTCCCTATAATGCAACACTTGCACACTTGTCTAAGTGGATTAAAATGAAAAACTGGCAATTCCTGAGGGGCAGGTTATAGTTTTAATTTTGTAGACACATTTTCAAAAATAGATTCATCATACACAGCTGACAATTTGTACTCTTTTGGTTTCCATACCTAAAAAGCCACCATATATTTTTCAGTGAAAATACGTTTTATTTTACCCAAAGAAAATATTAAAAGCCTGATATCAGGCTCATTTAGAGGGACCTTTGTGTCCATGTAGAGCCTCAGTTACTTTAGCTGGGCTCTGTCCAGGATATGATTACAAGATAGGACCCAAAGAAAGAAAAAAATGTCTCTGTGAAATGGAGTACAGTGCAAATCTCTCCCTTCTCTAGATCATCCATTCTGAGTAATGTCACTGTTTCCCACCTCACAGCTTACCAGTTTGTGCTCCATGACATGACAGCTACAATAATATAGATGCAATACTCATAAAATAATCCCACTGTGAATAGTATAGAGCTACAGCACTGGTGCAGTTAAAAGACACTGTTTTAAAATGATGTTTCTTTTCTTGTTTGCTTCACAGCTCTTTTTCTTTACTGGGTTATGGCCTTTGTCGCCAAAACCATCAAGCTGGTCAGATACTGTCAAGAAGGTGTGACATTCTCTCAGTTGCGCTTCTGCATCACTGGAATTATGGTCATTCTTTATGGGTTGCTGATGGCTGTGGAGATCAATGTCATTAGAGTTAGGGTATGTGTTTTTTATTGGGATTTGAGAAGACATAAAGCCATATCTTGGAGTAAGAATGGGGATAGACGTTAAACTATAGTGACACAAATTTTGGCACCAGTACAGCAAAGCACTTAAGTACATATTTATATTTAAACATGGAAGTATTTCCACTAGAGTCAGTGAGGGCAATCACATGATCACAATTAAACTAAGGTATATTTATTGGAGCAGATTTAGCATGCTGAAGAAATCTCCCCCTCATCCATTATCACAAGGGGTGCAGACAGAAGTGATAAGTGCTTCTCCCCTCCCATTCTGAAAACAGTGATCATCACTGGCAGAGCCCTGGCTGTTGCTATGGGAACATGGCTGCAGGCTCCCAGCCCTCCCTCCCTCCCTCCCCCTGCCCCATAGATTCCCCTCCCCACTGGAAGCAACAGTGAACTTCCGTTTGGTCTGGAGTAACATTGTAACTCAGAACACTTTGCAAAGAATGCTTTTCAAAAAATGCTCTGAGTTACAGCTGGGCGCTGTACTTCCATCAGCACCCTGGGTGAGAACTTGGGTTTTCTTCTTCATCCTCTGATTCCTTGTTTAGGATCTAGTGCTCAAATGTCTAATTGTATCAGAAAGCCACGAGTACCTCAGACTTTTCCTTTCTATGTGTTCTTACTTTTGGCCTACCACATATCCTTAATCCATGGGGAAGATCAGACTGTTAATGCATCTTGCATGTTTTTTCTGAACAAAGGAAGTGGAATCCATTCCTTGATTCAGGCAGCTAAGGGACCCATCACACATGTAAACAGAGACAAAATTTGTCAGTATTTTGCTTTCAGAGTTCAAGTCAAGTGGTTAAAGAGATTTATCACTGAGTTATTTTTGCTGTGCATGTATGTGTATGTGTGGTGTGTACAGTATTCTGGAGCACTTGTTTGCTGCTCCAGAAGGTGCTTGCTTAGATAGCAATATGTAAAACAATAGAACCACCTAGGGTAATTGCTTGTTTCAGTTATTTTGCATTCCATACAGTCAAACTCATGGTAACTAAGGCACGTGGCATAACAGGTGCAGGGATACAAGAAATAGGGAATGTGTACACAAAATGGGGGCCCTAAGTTGAAGTGGTGGGTTTTAAAAAATGCTGATTAAAACCCTGTGTCATGCACACAGCCCGCTGACTAACCTGCCTCTCTATCAGGGAGGGGAGGGCGAGCTACCGGCAGGTGGAGTGATCCCTAGGTTGCAGGGGCTGGGGTGCTTCCCTCCATGGCAGTGGCACCCCTCCCCCCCATGGCAGCACCCGCATGTAGGCACCCAGCTCGGGTGGTCCCGGGGTGCATCGCAGCCACAGAGGGAAGCACCGGGCCCCAACACAGCTTAGGCAGGCAGGCTCCGGGGTGGGGAAAGGGGGAGGATCAGGCTCTCCACTTTTCCTGGATGGAGCCTGCTTTCCTGGGCTGCTGCCAGGCTGCCTGCA